TTTAAAGCTTAGTATAAATACATTTTGTTTAGTTTTGAGAGATTATCTCTTTCATTAGCTAATTTCTCTCTTACTAAATTTTAAAGATTAGACTTCTCTCTTGTTTCTCTCCCTACAACTCTTGGTTTATTCAATTCATTATTTCCGTTAATTTTGGTAACAAATTCTTCCCTTTTTATTTTTAGTAACTTAATTGCTTTAATTCATCATGTCTTGTTTAATTGCTTTGTTTAGTTTAGATTTAATTATGTGTGAGTAGATTATTTTCTTGGGTTTTGTGGATCCATAAATAATATGAAGGGGTAAATTATTATTGTTGATTATCAATGCTGGATTAATTTCCTATTGATTGATTTAATGCTACGCAATTAGATTAGGTCTGGTTTAATTGTATAAGTTATGCAATATTGATTCAAGATTCAAGAGATGAGAATTGATGTTAGGCTTAGTTTCAGACTTTTAACAGGCAAGTTAATTTATAAATGGTTAAGTTAAAATTCGAGATACGATTTAATACCGGTAGATAAATTCATTGATTGTAATGCGTAGCGAAAGCCTTTTGATCTGATTAATTATTGCATTGGTAATTGATTATTATGTTTTACCCTGTAATATGATGAATCACATTTATATAGGATTTATAGGCACGTTTATGCTAAGTTTATAGTTGCTTTTTAGGTTTTTTTAAAAGCTTTTTAGGCCACAATTGCATAAATAGTTTGTTTTGTGCTCTATTACGCTTCGTTTGTGTTTTTCTTAATGTTTCAGGTGATTTCAGAGTCATTTGGACGCTTTCGTAGTGTTTGGAGTTGATTCAGATGATATTTGAATGGAAGTCGATGAATTGAGTTCATTAATCAAAGATCTCATGTTCGTGGATGTTGAATTTGAGGATTTCATGCATGAGAAATGAAAATAGCATTATCAATTATCGTTAGGCACTTTTCGGAATTGAATTTGAGTTAGAAACGAAGTTAAACGATATTTTACAAAGTGGCAAAACTGACTCTTGTTCACTCTTTTGATCATAACTTGAGTTCTACAGATCGAATTGAGGCGATTCAAATTGCGTTGGAAACTAGACTTGAATAGCTTTTCAACGATAGGTCACATATCCTTATAAGCTTCCTAGAACTCAAGATATAGCCCCTGAAATACGACCTTGCAAACCAGTTACGACCAGCGCCCGTAACTCAGCACTCTAAGGCCACGAGCAGCTTCTGCTTGGCCCAATGGATAACCAGCGGCCGCTGGTTTCCGCGCCCAGCAGGAGCAGGCCTCGTCTTCCCATCATCGCAACAACCTTCTTCGATTAAGACTCCTTTAAATCGACGACCAATCGTTTATATGACTTATGTAATTGCTATTTTTCTGATTTTATTTTATTTATTTATCTTTAGATTAGTTTTAGGATAATATAAATACTTCAAGGGATTATTATTTCCCCTTATGCCTTTTATATCTTTTATTATTTTACATTCTTTGGAGTTTTCCCTCGAACCCTAGTTTCTCATGGCATCTCCATGGATTCTTCCATGGATGATTCTTGGGTTTATTATTTCAATTCATTGAGGTATTTTATTTTTAATTCTTGTTTTTAATTATGTTTTATTCCTTAGATCTAGTTTTAATTATTTCTTCCATGTTTGAGTAATTTATTTCTAGGGTTTGAGAATTCATGATTATATGATAAATCTTGATTGATATTTTTATTATTTTGATTATTCACTTCTCTAATTGATAGTGTTTTATTGTTAATCTTGCAACCTGATCAATTGTTTGATTAATTATAGTTAATAAGAGTTTGAATCGAAAGATCTTACTTTAGAGGCTTACCTACAATTAGCAATTCTGATTATGTTAGCGACCGAACTACATATGTTGAATTGAGAGCGTTAAGACCCGACCGTAGGCTTAGCAATTGCTCTAGATAAATGATTGATTGAATTGTTATTGACATATGATTCATTTAGAACTATAAACATGGTGAACCATAACCCTAGATCTTTTTATTAATTGTTTTATTCCTATTATAATTTAGACTACTTTTCTACCCCAATTTCGTGACATAGTTTAGTTTCACCAAATTTTTAAAGGTTAGATTAAATAGCCATCTCTATGTGGATTCGACCCTACTACTACATTGTTAGTTGGTTTTGTTAGGAATTTATTTTTGACAGGTGTACGATAACCTATCAAATTTTGGCGCCATTGTTGGGGAGACGACTTAATTTTATTTTGGTGAGACTAATCTGTATATACATATATATATATATATATGTATATATATGTATATATGTATATATATGTGTGTGTGTGTGTAAATATATATATATATATATATATATATATATATATATATATATATATATATATATATATATATATATATATATATATATATATATATATATATATATATATATATATATATAGGAAGGCTCATATAAGAACCCTCCTCTATATAAGAATCCAATCTTATATAAGAATCCATCTCAACCGTTCAATGATTTTGATCTAACCATCTAAAATCCCCCTTTAGTAATGACATTTTTGTAATTTTAATAACTCTTTTTCAATCTTTAAATAAAAGAAAACCCTAAATCTCTCTCCTTAGCATTTTCTCTCTCCTCAACATTTTCTCTCTCCTCAGCATTTTCTCTGTTCTCTCTCCTCTACCTCAAGGAACTTGGTAAGTTTATTTATTTATTTATTTTTTGCGTTTTTTTTGCCATTTTAAGTTCGATTGTTTTTATATTTGGTTCAATTTTGTTGATTTTTTTTGGCGATTTAAAGTTTATTTTTTTGGTTTTTTAATAATATATTTTTTAAATTTCCAGTTTTTTTTTTCGATTTTTTATTTTCAAGTTGTTTTTTCGATTTTCCAGTTTTTTTTCTTTTTTTTTATTTTCCAGTTTTTTTTTGTCGATTTTCCATTTTTTTTCGATTTTCCATTTTTATTCTATTTTTCAGTTTTTTTTCCAGTTTTTTTTTTTTTTTTTTTTTTTTTTTTTTTTTTGTTTGTCGATTTTCCCTTTTTTCGATTTCTTATTTTCAATTTTTTTTACGATTTTTTTTTTCTATTTTCCAGTTTTTTTTTGTCGATTTTCCATTTTTTTTTATTTCTTATTTTCAATTTTTTTTTTCGATTTTCCATTTTTTTTTTATATTTTCTTGTTTTTTTTGTCCATTTTCCATTTTTTTTTCGATTTTTTTTTTCAAGTTTTTTATTTTTATTTTTCGTTTTTTTTTTCCAGTTTTTTTTTTCGATTTCAATTTTTTTTTATTTCGTTTTTTTTCCTCGTTTTTTCCTCTGTTTTTATTTTTCAATTTTTTTTTTCGATTTTCCATTTTGTTATTTATATTTTCCAGTTTTTTTTTTATTGTCCATTTTCCATTTTTTTTTCGATTTTTATTTTCAAGTTTTTTAGTTTTATTTTTCGTTTTTTTTCCATTTTTTTTTCGATTTCAATTTTTTTTTTTATTTTGTTTTTTTTCCTCGTTTTTTCCTCTGTTTTTTCCCTAATTTTTTTCGCTTTTTTTTTTAAGTTTCTAGTTTTCATTTTCAATTTTTTTTTCCAAATTTTTTTTTCTTGCTTGAGTTTTTCTATTATTGGATTTTAATTTCAAATTGTTTTTTTTACTATAATAGAAAACCTTAGAACATAAGGGAAAACTTTAGAACATAATAGAAATACTTTAGAACATATAGATAGAAAATATTAGAACATAATAAAAATACTTTAGAACATAAGGGAAAACTTTAGAACATAAGTAAAAAAATATAATAAAACATAATAGAAAACTTTAGAACATATGGGAAAACTTTAGAACATAATAAAATACTTTAGAACATATGAGAAAAGTTTAGAACATAATAGAAACATTATAACATAATAGAAAACTTTAAAACATAATAAGGGAAAACTTTAGAACATAGTAGAAAACTTTAGAACATATGAGAAAACTTTAGAACATAATATAAATACTTTAGAACATAAGGGAAAACTTTAGAAGATAAGGGGAAAATATAATAGAACGTAATAGAAAACTTTTGAACATAATAGCAAACTTTATAGCATAATAGAAATACTTTAGAACATAACAGAAAATCTTAGAATATAAAAGAAATACTTTAGAACATAAGGGAAAACTTTAGAACATAAGGGAAAAATAATACATAAACTTTAATTACCTTTTTCTTCTATAAGTAATTTCAGATTGGTTTTTTACTACAATTGGTATTTATGATAATTAGGTTTTGGCATATTCATGGATTTAGATGATGTTCAAGATAATTCTCCTTCTTCCGTTGTTACTCATTCAGGTAATTTTCATTGTTTTAATACTTTAATTTCAATTTCCTTACATGTTCTAAACTTTACTTAGTTGTATATTTTAAAGTAATTTTGTGAATTTGTGGATTATGTTTAATTAAAAGTTGTTTTAATGTTCTAGATTAATTCATTATGTTCTAAACTTTTTCACTTTATTCTATTTTAATTTAGTTACATGTTCTAAAATTTACTTACATGTTCTAAACTTTAAACTTTACTTACATGTTTTAAAGTAATTTTGTAAATTTGTTGATTATGTTCAAAATTTGTTTAATATTCAAAAAAAATTCTAGTTATGTTCTAAAGTAATTCTTTATTTTATAAATTTTTTCACTTTATTCTAAATTTTATTATGTATGTTATAAAGTAATTTACTATGTTCTAAAGTTTATTCTTAATGTTCTAAACTTTTTTCATTATGTTTTAAAGTTTTCTATGTATGTTTCTCTTTCTCTTTATGTTCTAAAGTTTATTCTTAATGTTCCAATATTTTCTTCATATTTAATGACTTTTATTGTAAGTTCTAATTTTTTTTTTCTTTTTATGTTCTAATGCAGTTGGTGTTATTTATCGTACTCCTGAGGTTGTTGGATCGTTTAGCCCTGGTGGTACCACTAAGGAATGGATTCCAAGTGTTCCCGAAGAGTTAAACCTCGTTTGGGGATGATATTCAAAGATCCCGAAGAGGGTCTTAGTTTTTATAAAGCATATGCAAATGCCGCTGGATTTACTTCTAGGAAATCTACTACTACAAGGAAGAAGAATAACAAAGATATAATTGCTTTTCAATATGGAGTTTGTAATAAGGAAGGTTTCAAGGCAACAAAAAAACCTATTGCTCAACAAACTGTTGATGAAGAAGGAAAAGTTCGTATTACTAGGAAACGTTTAGTGACTCCTGTAGGATGCAATGCTCACATATGTATGAGATATGATGCAGGAAAGTATGTTGTTAGTCAATTCAAAGAAGAACATAATCATTGTTTATATACTCCAAGTTGTGCAAAATTTCAAAAGGATAATAGAAAAATGCATATTATGCATAAGAAGTTGATTGTTGATAATTCAAAGGTGATTTATTTTTATGTGCCAAATATTGTTTTCTTTATTCTAAAGTTGATCTTTAATCATAGTAATTTTTCTTTCTCTTTGTTTTTGTACACAGGTAAATGTTGGTCCTGTGAGGTCTTATACAATGATGAAAGAATTAGCTGGATCACATGATAATGTTGGTGCATCTAAACAAGATTTCAAAAACTTTTATAGAGATTTGAAGGCTTATATTGCTGGATCAGATGCCCAAATGTTTGTGGATAACTTTCAAAATAAGAAATTGCTTTGGAGTGCCTTTTTTTTAACTATGATGTTGATGAAGAAGGTAGACTTTGTAGAGCTTTATGGGCTGATCCTATTTGTCGCAAAAATTATGCACTTTTTGGTGATATGGTATCTTTTGATACAACGTTCCAAACAAACAGGTGATGTTCTAAATGTAGATTTTTTTATGTTCCTAAATTAATATCAATCATGTTTTGATGTTCTAAACATATATTTCTTATGTTCTAAATTATGTATATCTTATGTTCTAGACATATATTTCTAATGTTCTAAACATATATTGCTGATATACTAAACATAGATGCATTATGTTCTAAAATATTGGCAAGTTTAATAATTAAATTAAATTTCTATGCTCTAAAGTTTATCGTTAATGTTCTAAAGTATACATTTATGCTTCACAATTTATCTTTATGTTCTAAAGTTTATCCTTAATGTTCTAAAGTATACCTTTATGCTACACAATTTACCTTTATGCTCTAAAGTTAATCCTTATGTTCTAATATTTTCTGCATATATAATTTGTGTATGTGACAGATATAATATGATCTTTGGTCCATTTACTGGAGTTGATCACCATAAGAAATGTGTTACTTTTGCGGCTTCTTTTGTAGCTCATAAAGATATATCATCTTTCGAATGGGTTTTCAAAACTTTTCTTAAATCAATGGGAAATAATGATCCTGTGTGTTTGATTACCGATCAAGACCCTGCAATGAAAGTTGTTGTTCGTAATGTTTTTCAAATTACAGAACATAGGTTTTGTATGTGGCATATTATGAAAAAGGTGCCTGAAAAAGTAGGTCGGGCAATTACCCAAGAAACTGATTTTTTGAAAAAAGTTTGTGCATGTGTTTGGCATTTAGAGATTGAGCCAGCAGAATTTGAAGAAAAGTGGAACAAAGTTATTTCAGAATTCAATTTGAACGATCATGAGTGGTTGGCTCACATGTTCAACATACGTGATATGTGGATTCCAGCGTATTTCAGAGATTTATTTTTAGGTGGCATCATGAGGACCACATCTAGATCCGGAAGTGAAAATAATTTTTTCACTATGTTCACAAATCCCCATCTCACTTTGATTGAGTTTTGCATGAGGTAATATGTAAATGTCTAAATATGTTCTAATTTTAATCTTTATGTTCAAAAGTTTATCTTTAATGCTTTAAATTTTTTTTTTCTTTTATATATTTTATTTTATAGTTTTACCATTTTTTTCAACTCTCTTTTATTTAATAAATTTTGTCTTAAATGTTTTAAAGTTTTAGTTTAATGTTTTAATAGTATTTAGATCATGTGTATTATTTTAATATGTTCTAATGTAATTCACTTTATGTTCTAAAGTTATTTTCTATGTTCTAAAGTTAATTTTTATTTTCTATAGGTTTGAATGTGCATTGGATGCACAAAGGCACACTCAAAATAAAATGGATAATGATTCAAAGAATAAGCGTCCAGAGTGTAAGACTCCAATTCCTTTAGAAAAAGATGCTCCTGAGTTGTTTACAACAACAATTTTTTATGATTTTCAATATGAGCTTGAAATTGGATGTTTTAATTGTGGTGTTGAGGAGATGAAGAAGGACAATGAGATTTACATTTTCAAATTAAGGGAAGGATCTAGGAGGAGGGCTTTTGATGTTGTTTTTGATCCAACTACCTTAGATACCAAGTGTTTTTGTAAAAAATTTGAACGTGATGGTGTGCCTTGTAGGCATATGATTTGGATGTGGAAAGCAAGGATGTTAGAAAAAATTCCCAAGACTTACGTTCTAAATAGATGGTGTACAATGGCTTATAAGAAGCCCATTTTTGATTTAGAGGGTAATGTTTTAGAGGAATGTCTTAATGTTGTAGATAAAAAGATGCTATTAAATGATTTGTGGTGTGAAATTTATGCTTGTGTGAGTTTAGTGCAAAACAATGAAGATGATCTAAGTGATCTTGTCAAAAAACTTCGAGTCATGAGAATAGATTTGGAACAAAAGAAAATAACAAATGGAAGCAACAATTTTTGTAGCAAAGTTAAAGACATTGAAATGCTTATTGGAGCTAGTTTACCTTCTGAAGTTTTGATCAAAGCTCCAAAAATTTCAAAAAACAAAGGTACAGGGGTTCATGTTCCAAATTAGGTTAATGTTCCAAATGATACCCCTATTCCAAATGATACGCATGTTCCAAATAGTGACAAGAGAATGAAGAGTGACAGAGAAAAAGCCGTTGAACAAAGTCAAAAGAAGAAAAGATTATGTAAAGCATGTGGAGAGCTTGGTCATCATGATAGTCGTAATTGTCCAGGGAAAGTCAAGTGATATTGTAAGTAAACATTTTTTTGTTATGTTCTAATTAGTAATAAATTAAAATTATTACTAATTAGAACATAAGAAAAAAATGCATCAAATATGTTTGAATTTAAATTTAATACTTTGAATTTTTAATTTAAACATTTTGTATATGTTTTAAAATGCATCAAATATGTTCTAAAATTTATAATGTGTTTATGTTCTAATTATTAATTTTTTTTTTCAGGTTGACTATGTTATTCGTACAACCGCATGGGACATTTTATTTATAGGAAATAGCACAAAAAAAAAAAATTGTGTAAATTTTTTTTTATATATTTTTTTATTATTTTGAGAACATAATGACATATTATTTTTTGTCCAATAATTCTCTATATTCTTATGTTTACAATTATAAGATAACATGATTTTATTATAATATAAGGAAAAAATATAATAGAACATAATAGAAAACTTTAGAACATAAGGGAAAACTTTAGAACATAATAGAAATACTTTAGAACATATGGATAGAAAATGTTAGAACATAACAGAAATTATTTAGAACATAATAGAAAACTTTAGAACATATGGTAAAACTTTAGAAAATAATAGAAATACTTTAGAACATATGGGAAAACTTTAGAACATAAGGGAAAAATATAATATAACATAATAGAAATTTTTATAACATAATAAAAACATTAGAACATAATAGAAAACTTTAGAATATAAGGGAAAAATATAATAAAACATAATAGAAAACTTTAGAACATAAGGGAAAACTTTCGAACATAATAAAAATACTTTAAAACATATTATATAAATACTTTGAGTTTTAAACTTAATACTTTATGTTTTAAAATGCATCAAATATGTTCTAAAATTTATAATGTGTTTATGTTCTAATTATTAATTTTTTTTTCAGGTTGATTATGCTATTCGTACAACCGCATGGGACTTTTTATTTTTAGGAAATAGCACATGGAAAAATTTTTGTGTAAATTTTTCTTTTATACATTTTTTTATTATTTTGAGAACATAATGCATATTATTTTTTGTCCAATTATTCTCTATATTCTTATGTTTACAATTATAATATAACATGATTATATTATAACTCTTATTCTTTTATTAACATAATTTTTGGCAATATTATAATATGAGAATGGGGTTGGATGAGTATGAGATAACATAATATTTTTCAACTAATGTGAACCATTTATTTTGCGCAAATTTTGCAAGTAACAACTTAAATACTTTAGAACATTATAATAATAAATTAGAACATAATAAGAATTACTTTAGAACATACACATGCAACTTAGAACATATTAAGAATTACTATATATACTTAGAACACAATCAAAATAACTTGAAATTAGGTTAATGTTCCAAATGATATTAATGTTTCAAAATATACACATGTTCAAAACAGTTATGTCCATAATCATATATTTGTACAAAAAATTACTATTATATATACTTGAAATTTACACAATCAAATATCAAAATTTGTTGATCTTTGACCACTTTCTAGCCATCTTCAACACTCTTTTCCTTTCTTCATTTACTTCTGATGTTATAATCTTCCCACAATACTCCACTCGTAACCTTTTCATTTGCTCAAACTGCACAAAAAAAAAAATGACTGTAGAACATATACATGTAATTTAGAACATAATAAGAATTACTTTAAAACATTGACACGTAATTAGAACCTAATCATATATGTTTTGTACTTACATTATCCTTTTCTAGTCCTGAATTCCATTGTTTTTTACATTGGCCTTCATAGGATTCCATGTGCTTCAATAGAAATACTCCACAATCATGTTTATTTCGGTTGCTTTTCCATCTCATCTCAACATTTCTTGTTTCATAAGTGGAAATAATTGCACTCTTCTTATCAACTTCTTCATAAAATTCACCAAATGCTTCCAACTAAAAAAATAATAATATAATTAGAACATTGACATGGAATTTAGAACTCAATTACAATTATTTTAGAACATTGATATGTAAATTATAACATATATATAATTTTTAAAGTACTTTAAAAGATTGACATGTAATATAAATAATTTCAAACATAATAGAAAATCATTGAACATAATAGAAATACTTTAGAACATAAGGGAAAACTTTCGAACATAATAAAAATACTTTAGAACATAATGGAAAATTTTAGAACATATGAGAAAACTTTAGAAAATAAGGGAAAATTTTAGAACATAATAGAAATACTTTAGAACATATGGATAGAAAATGTTAGAACATAATAGAAATACTTTAGAACATAAGGAAAAACTTTAGAACATAAGGAAAAAATATAATATAACATAATAGAAAACTTTAGAACATAAGGGAAAACTTTAAAACATAATAGAAATACTTTAGGACATATGGGAAAACTTTTGAACATAAAGAAAAAAATAATAGAACATAATAGAAACACTTTAGAACATAAGGGAAAACTTTAGATCATAAGGGAAAAATATAATAGAACATAATAGAAAACTTTCGAACATAATTGAAAACTTTAGAACATAATAGAAATACTTTAAAACATATGGGAAAACTTTAGAACATAATAAAAATAACTTAAAATTATGTTAATGTTCCAAATAAGGTTAATGTTCCATATGATATCAATGTTCCTAAATTTCTTTATAGCATAATAAAAAAAATTATAATTAACTAAATCAAAACTTTACACCTTACCATTTTTGTAAAATCATCCCCATATTTGTCTTCTACCGAAACATTTGGTGGAAGAATCATGTTATCAATGACATCAAGAGTACCTTCCATAAAGTTGAAGCACAACAAATAATAGTGATCCGGTAAAACAGCCGGAAAGAAAACCTATGTTTAGAACATAATCAGAGACTTTAGAACATAATCAAACATGTGTTTACAACATAATCATATACTTTAAAACATTATAATAATAAATTAGAACATAATTAGAAATACTTTAGAACATTGACATGTAATTTAGAACTCAATAAAAATAAATAGAACACTATATAAAGAAAAGAAAAAACTTACCAATTGAAAGTTGTTAAATGTTGTTACTTCGGCATTTGTCATTTCATTTCTCATTTGATGAAACAAAGCTTTTTTTCTATCTTCCCAATTTTCAGTATTTTTGATGTATTTTTCAGTGCAAAGAATGAGCTGGAAAAAAAATAAATTAAAACTCAAGTAATTAGAACATTGACATATAATTAAAACAAAGACATGTAATTTAGAACATAATTAGAAATACTTTATAACATTGACATGTGATTTAGAACTAAATCAGAACTACTTTAGAATATTTTTTGAAATACTTTAGAACATTGACATGTAATTTAGAATATAATAGTAAGATAATTAGAACATACATAGCATTCAGTAGAGAAAAAAAATCTACTCTTCTTGTCTACACCACGCCTTTTGTTTTCACAATTTAATATGAAAGCATAAGCATCTGCAATGTTGTTGAACATGTGACTACATCCTGAAAGACTATCCATCTCATCTCTCCTAATCACCATTGCCGCTTTGTCAGCATACAAAAGTTCTCTAAAATGAGAACAAAAACTACATTAAATCAAAACAGCATTTTTAACATAAACAAAATACTTTAAAACATAAGCACATAATTTTAAACATAAGCATAGTGCTTTAGAACTAAATTTTAGAACATGACCAGAAATATTTTAGAACATAAACTATATTAATCAAAACATAATTTTGAACATTAGCATAATAGTTTAGAACGTAAGCACGTAATCTTGAACATAAACATACAACTTTAGAACATAAGCATAGTACTTTAGAACATAAACTTGTAACATTTAGAACATTTACTTAGAAAAAATATAACCATCAAAATTGAATTTGATTAGAAAACGAAGATGGGAATTTCAAACATGTATTTTAAAACATAAGTTTCTACCTTAGAAGATAAATACAATATTTAGAACATAAATATATATATTTTATGACATAATCAAATACTTTTATCATAAGCATATAAATATAAATGGATGAAATCTTACGCGTTATCTCCTTGAGCAAAAGCATACTCAGCTATCATTTTATGATCTACATTGTTGAAGAGTTTTTCATGAGTAACCATAAAAGGCGAACGCATATACATTGGAAGCTTATCCTTTCCTCTTTTTTTCTTTGTTTCTTCTTCTTCTTCTTCTTCTTCTTCTTCTTCTTCTTCTTCTTCTTCTTCTTCTTCTTCTTCTTCTTGCTTCCTATTCAATTGAATTAAAAAAAAAAACAATCAACAACTAAAATCAAATAATAATCAAACAACCGCCATAGCCTAAATCTAATTACCGTTGCTTATTCTCTTTGTTGTTCTTTTCTTCAACATGCTTCTTCTTTTCTTTTTTGGTTTTGTTGTCCTCTTCTTCTTCATTCAATGTAGGTGGATGATCTAGATTCAAAAAATTTATAACATTAAAAGAACTTTTGACATAATAAATGTAATAAATTTCCAATATACATATAACAAAAATAAAGTTAAAATAAGTCAAACTTACCAACTATTGGTGAGGGCGTCAACAAATTGAAGCTTGGAGGTGAAATATCTTTATGCATCTTTTTTGGAGGAATTTTGGTGTCTTTGGTGTGTCGTCATTCCTTTTCGTTTTCTTCTTTGTTGTACGCAAGAAAATTTTAAGCTTATTCTTTTGTCTAAACAAAATCAAAATTACTTTTAGAACATGGACAAGTAATTTAGAACATAATTAGAAATACTAATAACAAACCCAAATCAAAACCAATATATAACTAGAAAACACAAACCATTAATCCTATATTAAGATTTTACCAAATCGTCCAACATATGTTCTAAACCAAAACCAATGTATTAAATATTCCTATTAATAAGTTACATTGATTACTCTTTCTTTGCTTCAACTTTCTTTTTTGCCACTTTTTTTCCTTCATTCTCCTTTTGCCTTTCCCCTTCTTGCTCCTCTTGTATTTCTCCTTCCTTTGTCTCTTGCCTTTTTTCTTGATTATTCTTTTGTCTTTGTTTTTGCTTTTCTTCTTGTTCTTGAAAATATAAAGGAAAACTTTAGAACATAAGGAAAAAATAAAATTGAACATAATAGAAAACTTTAGAACATAATAGAAATACTTTAGAACATAATAGAAAATACTTTATAACCAAAAGTACTTTAAAAGATTGACATGTTCTATAAATAATTTCAAACATATATTATAATCTTTAGAATATAATAAAGAACTTTATGTCATAATTGGAATACTTTAGAACATAAGGAAAAAATTTAGAATATAAAGAAAAAATATAATAGATCATAATAGAAAACTTTAGAACATAATAGAAAATCTTAAAACATAATAAAAATACTTTAGAACAAAAGGGAAAACTTAAGAACATAAGGGAAAAATATAATAGAGCATAATAGAAAACTTTAGTTTAGAACATAATAGAAATACTTTAGATCATAACCTTTTGCCAAATCTCCTTCTTGCTCCTTTTGTCTTTCTTCTTTATTATCCTCTCGTTCTTGGTCTTGCTTCTCTTCTTGTTCTAGAAAACATAATTATAAAACACAATATTAGATTATAATTGTATCATAAGAATTTGAGTTGGAACATTAACATAAACTTTAGAACATAAAGTGCAAACTTTAGAACATATATCGTAAATTTTAGAACATAAGCATATACAAATATTCTATTTCCTTTTTTTTAGTAATTTTCCTTTTTAAAATACTTTAGAACATAAGGGTAAACTTTAGAAAATAAGGGGAAAATACAATAGAGCATAGTAGAAAACTTTAGTTTAGAATTTAATAGAAATACTTTAGATCATAACCTTTTGCCAAATCTCCTTCTTGCTCCTCTTGTCTTTCTCCTTCTTGCTCCTTTTGTCCTTCTCCTTCCTTCGACTCTTGTCTTTCTTCTTTATTATCCTCTCGTTCTTGGTCTTGCTTCTCTTCTTGTTCTAGAAAACATAATTATAAAACACAATATTAGATTATAATTGTATCATAAGAATTTGAGTTGGAACATTAACATAAACTTTAGAACATAAAGTGCAAACTTTAGAACATATAGCGTAAACTTTAGAACATATAGCGTAAACTTTAGAACATAAGCATATACAAATATTCTATTTCATTTTTTTTAGTACTTTTCCTTATTAAAATAGTTTAGAACATAAGAGAAAACTTTAGAACATAAGGGGAAAATATAATAGAGCATAATAGAAAACTTTAGTTTAGAATTTAATAGAAACACTTTAGATCATAACCTTTTGCCAAATTTCCTTCTTGCTCCTCTTCTCTTTCTCCTTCCTTCTCCTTTTGGCTTTCTCCTTCCTTTGCCTCTTGTCTTTCTTTTTGATTATCCTCTTGTCCTTGGTCTTGTTTCTCTTCTTTATCTTGAAAACATAATTATAAAACACAACATATAATATAATTGTATCATAAGAATTTGAGTTGGAACATTAACATAAACTTTATAACATAAAGTGCAAACTTTAGAACATATAGCTTAAACTTTAAAACATATAGCGTAAACTTTAGAATAATAGCGTAAACTTTAGAACATAAGCATATAAAAATATTCTATTTCATTTTTTTAGTACTTTTCCTTTTTAAAATCAATTAATTAAAAGAACATTAATAAGAAATGAGTTTGAAAATAGTTGGAAATTACCAAGTATAGGTGAAGAGATACTATCATCTATCTTTTCATTGATATTTCTCTCATCATTGTTCTTTTCTCTTTCTCCTTCATTTGATGGCAAATCTTCATAATAATTACAAAACACAATTTTAGAACTTAACTATATCATAAAGATTTGAGTTGGAACATAAACACTTGATTTAAGAGCATAATTTAAAACATAGGTATAATTTAGAAATTAAACATGTAATTACCATGTCCCAATGACTTTGGTGACTTTTCAACATTAAATTTCTTCCATGCAATATTCATCAACATATCCAATTCTTCTATGAATGCCGGTTCATCGAAGAAATGTTGATATTGACTAAGTATGGAAGGACTTTTTGTGTGTTGCTTTTCTTCTTCTTGATTTACCAATGGCTATATATAAGAATACATAAGTTAGAATCCAATAAGACATTTATATATGTTGAACTATTATAAATATAAAAATTACACTTTAGAACATAGGCTGAAAATAGTTTAGAACATGATTACTATACCTTTGTGGTATACTTGCACCAAATGTTGTCTATAAGATGATGCATTTTTCCCGCTGTTTCTTCCTCAACAAAGATATCCTTTGCTTGTTCCAACATGCTATACATCTCTTTTACATTCAATACAAGACTTTTTGCCAAATCTTCAAATTTGCTAAAAAAACCCTAAGAATTTAGAACATAAAATAATGAATATTTAAAATATTATAGAAATAAGTAAATAAATTAATAAAAAAATATTAAAACATTATACCATCATATCATTTGGAGATGTGATAGAATCACATGTCATTGATTGGTTTTCCACAACTTTCTCTTTTCCTTTGTCTTTCCCTTGCTTTTTTTATTACTTTCTTCTCCCCTTGTTTTTCTCTAATTGTCAAGGGTTGCTCTTTCTTCTTTCCTTTGTCATTCTCTTGCCTTTTTTCCAATCCCTTTTTAAATATACATTATAAGTTTTAGAATACATGCATAAATATATTGTATAGATAAATATAAAACGATAATAAACTTTAGAACATATAATACAAAGTTTAGAACATATAGTATAAACTTTAGAACATAAGCATATACAAAAATCATACCACATTCAATTTCATTCTTTCTAGTACTTTTCCTTTTCCAAATCCAAGGTCTTTCTCAAACTTCAATCTTGTATGGAACCTTTCTTGGTTCCACAATGATATTAATGGAACTTGACGTGGTATCTCTAACCCCTTCCTTTGTACCCGATCAAAATAGGATACCTAAAAGAACATCATTAGAAATACTTTAGAACATTGATATGTAAATTAGAACATAGATATATAATTTAGAACAACATTAGAACTTACCATAAGAAAGATTAAAGGACCCTTAAAGAAAGATTCTCCATCTAGCCATTTCTTAGTAGTTTCCATCAAGTGCTCCTTAACAAATTTGCACCAATTCAACTTAACTATATTCTTTGTATCCTTGCAACTATACAAAAACTTAATGTATAGTTGTTTGTTATTAGTTGAACGGATGCAACTATTAACCACACAAACCAAAAAATTCCAAATGAATTCATCCGAAACTTGTTTTTGTTCTTTATCTACCTCCTTCACCTTTTAAATCCTACTAATCAATTGTACATTTGTTGTAGCACCCTGTAAGTAATTTAGAATATAATAGAAAATACTTTAGAACATAATCAAAATAACTTTAGAACATAAGCAAAAATACTTTAGAATATAATGGAAAACTTTAGAACATAATAGAAATACTTTAGAACATAATTGAAAATACTTTATAATCAAAAGTACTTTAAAAGATTGACATGTAATATAAATAATTTCAAACATAATAGAAAATCATAGAACATAATAGAAATACTTTAGAATATAAGGGAAAACTTTAGAACATAAGGAAAAAATATAATAGAACATAATAGAAAACTTTAGAACAAAATATAAAACTTTAGAACATAATAGAAATAGTTTAGAACATAATGCAAAACTTTAGAGCATAAGAGAAAAATATAATAGAACATAATAGAAAACTTTAGAACATATGGGAAAAATATAATAGAACATAATAGAAAATCTTAAAACATAATCAAAAATACTTTAGAACATTATTAAAATAAATTAGAACATAAGCCAAATAACAAGTTTAGAATACAAGTACACATAAAAATATTCATACCACTTTAAGGTTAAAGTTTTTTCTCCATTTTTGCATAAAATTTGCACATTCATTCTTGTTTTCTATTGTATCAAGAATTTCTATATCTCCCATTGGCAATCCATATGTCATGTGAACATCAATTTCATCAAAGAGTATTTCTTCTTCTCTCCCCGGTAGCATCAAGCAACATCTCTTGGGATCAAAATTCGAAAGAAGTTGTTGTGTCAACCTAGATTTAAATTAAAGGTTTAGAATACAAAATACATATAGATTAGAATTTAAATAAAAATAAAAATTAACATGATAATTAAACTTTAGAACATTAATTAGATTTTTATAAGAATTAGAACATAATAGATGATATTTAAATAATAAAAACAAAAAATAAAAGTACTTTAAAAGATTGACATGTAATATAAATAATTTCAAACATAATAGAAAATCATAGAACATAATAGAAATACTTTAGAACATAAGGGAAAACTTTAGAACATAATAGAAATACTTTAGAACATAATGGAAAACTTTAGAACATATAACATGTGAACATATGGATAAAAAACTTTAGAACATAATAGAGATACTTTAGAACACATGGATAGAAAATGTTAGAACATAATAGAAATACTTTAGAACATAAGGGAAAACTTTAGAACATAAGGAAAAAATATAATAGAACATAATAGAAAAATTTAGAAAATAAGATAAAACTTTAGAACATAATAGAAATACTTTAGAATATATGGGAAAACTTTTGAACATAAAGGAAAAAAATAATAGAACATAATAGAAAATCATAGAATTTAATAGAAATACTTTAGAACATAAGGGAAAACTTTAGATTCTAAGGGAAAAATATAATAGAACATATGAGAAAACTTTAGAACATAAGGGAAAACTTTAGAACATAATAGAAATACTTTAGAACATAATGGAAAACTTTAGAACATATGAGAAAACTTTAGAACACTAGTGCTTACCAAGAATCCACATAATGTGGTGCATCCAAGTTCAAAAAAGCTCCAAATCCAATTTTTTGAATTGCTTGTTTATGCTTATCAGAGAGATTTACCAACACTTGTTTCATTAATTCCTTTGCGGTAACTCTTTGATAAGCCGATCTCTTATTTTTTTCCACTTTGATTATTTTCACATCCTCATCATCCTTTTCTTTTTCAATCTTTCTTTTCTTATTTTTTTTTTTTTTTTTTCAAAACCACCCGAAAAAAGTAAAACATTAGAAAGAATTTGAATTAGTAGATAAATTATTGTTATAAAAAATAAAGTTTAGAACATATGTATATAATTAAAAAATCAACTTAGAAATGTAAGAATTAACTTACAAAAATCATTTACTTATTAATTAAAACATTTACTTTAGAACATAAGCATGAATGTAATAGAACATAAGCATGAATGTATTAGAACATATATATATAATTAATAAAGTTACATATTATTTATAAATGTAGAATATAAACATGCAATTTATGACATTAGCATATAATTTAGAACCTTTTTACTATCATCATTCATGCCATTTCTTTTATCATCTTTCTCCTCCAACTTTGGTTCATCCATCTCATCATTAATATCATGTTGATCATCATTGTCATCATCATCATCATCTTCTTCTTCCTTTGTTTTCATTTTTCTAGTTGGTTGAATCCTTGATGAAAGCTTGGCACTTTTTTTTCGTTTCTGACTTTGCACATGTTTCTCAAATTCAGCTTTGTCAATTACTTCCGCATCATTTTCAACAACTTTCCTTTAAAATCAAATATAAATGATTTAGAACATATATGATAATATTTAGAACATAATAGAAAACTTTATATCATAATATAAATACTTTAGAACATAATAGTTACTCTTAGAACATAAGGAAAAAATATAATAAAACATAATAGAAAATTTTATATCATAATAGAAATACTTTAGAACATAATAGAAAAACTTATAACATAATAAATAGAAAAACTTATAACATAATAAAAATACTTTAGAACATAAGGGAAAAATATAATAGAACATAATTGAAAACTTTAGAACATAAGGGAAAACTTTAGAACATAAGTGAAAACTTTAGAACATAAGTGAAAAATATAATAGAACATAATAGAAAACTTTAGAACATAAGGAAAACTTTAGAACATAATAGAAAACTTTAGAACAAGGGAAAACTTTACAACATAATAGAAATACTTTAGAACATATGGATAGAAAATATTAGAACATAATAGAAATACTTAAGAACATAAGGGAAAATTTTTGAACATAAGTAAAAAATATAATAAAACATAATAGAAAACTTTAGAACATATGGGAAAACTTTAGAACATAATAGAAATAATTTAGAACATAGTAGAAAACTTTAGAACATAAGGGAAAACTTTAAAACATAAGGGAAAATTTAGAACATAAGGGAAAAATACTTTAGAACATAAGGGAAAACTTTAATTACCTTTTTCTTCCATAAGCAATTTTTTCATCCGGTATAATAGTAATTTCTTCTTCTGATTTTTCTTCATTTTGGCTTTGCATTTTGCTGATATTTTATAAAATAAAAAACATTAGTAACATTACTACATTAGTAATATATTTTAAACATATTATACAGTTTGTGAGACAAGTATTAACTTAACATATTATCTATACCAATATATGTGATTACTTGTCAACACTTCATGTATAACAAATAGCAAAACAAAATAACTAAGTGTGCCATATATGTGATTACTTGTCAACACTTCATGTATAACAAATAGCAAAACAAAGTGACTAAGTGTCATAGTTGCCTCTTATATATATATAGATGGTGGTTCATGGACAAGATCAGTCTACATTGGGAGGCATCTGCGTGCTCAATATAACTAATTAACTAACCACATAAAAGAGAGAAAATAAATTGGAAACAACTTCTCTGATTTTACAAGAATTAGACACATTAAACCATTCATTCATTCTAAAAATGTCAAATGGAATCCTAACAAGCACACTTTATAAAGCAGCAGATGCATCTCTTAACATCGGAAACAATATACAAGAAGCCAGAAAACGCATTTCCAACAAAAGAGAATCTGATTGCAACTTAGAGCTTCTGGATAGCTGCAGCAAATTAAAGAGGTTTTTGAGATGCAGGAAAACAGATGAGGACATTGAGGAAGAGAAAGAATTTAACCCAAGATGTAACCCAAAAGTTTTGACAACATTCTAATTTTACGCCTTTTTTATGATTCCTCTTTGATTGTAATGTCACATCGTATTATGAACGAATTGACAGCGATGGGTCGGGATGATAACTGATTTTATGTTGTCTCTGTTCTAGATGCTCTATTATTGAATTTTCTTCGGTACATTTTCCCATTGAATAATTCAGCAGCATTTAGCAATTCTTTTAAAACGTGGAATTATATATCGTAAAAATCAAAGATCCACCTCCATTATGATTATGTTGTCGGGTATCCATTAATTTAAACGTAGACATAATAGAATGAGTTTAGAACATAATTTTTTTAAAAAAAAGAGTTTAGAACATTATCCATTAATTTAAACATAGAATATAATAGAATGAGTTTAGAACATAATTTTTTTTAAAAAAAGAGTCTAGAACATTATACAAGCCTGTTCGAAATTGACAGAAAACAAACAACACAAATCGAACAAAATAATTCGAACATAAATTGAACTAATTAAATCGAACAAAATCGAACAAAAATCAAAATATTAGCAAAATCGAACTTACATCAAGCAAAATTCGAACTAAAATCGAGCAAAAATCGAACAAAATAATCGAACAAAAATCGAACTAAAATTGAACCCTAAATTCGAACACTAAAGCCGCAAAAATCGAACCCTAAATTCGAGCCCTAAATTTTCAAAAATCGAACTCAAAAAAATCGAAAAGAAAAACGAAATCCACTTGAACATCATGCTAATTTCATAGAAATTTAAACAAAATCGAAAAGAAAAACATACAAAATCCCTTTAACTTATGCAAAATTCATGAAAATCAAATCGCAAAAATCAAAATCACCAATTTGCAAACATCATGCGATTGAAAGCACAAAATCGACTTGAATATCATGTGTAATTCATAAAATTAGAACAAAATCAAAGAAAAATGTACCTGATTTGAGCAATTTAGGTTGTTTTGCAGCAATTTGGGCTAGATTTTGAGATTTGAGGAGAGAGAAAGTAAAGAGGATTGAAAGTTTGAGGAGAGAGAAAAGTATGAACGTTTGGGGAGGGTTTTGGGGGAGTTTTTTTTTGTTTTAATCTTGACCGCTCATCCTAATCTAATCCTACGGATGAGATTGGTTCTTATATAACTAGGGTTCTTACATAAGGAGGGGTTCTTACCGGATCCCTCCCCTATATATATATATATATATATATATATATATATATATATTCCTTTACTAATTCTTGTGTTTGCAGGTTTCTCTTGCTCTTTTTTGGATTTATTTCAATGGCTATTTTTATTTTCCACAATTTGAGAATGAAGTGTTTTGGAAATATTATTATAGGCTTGGTGACTTTGTTGGTCCTAATCATGGAATTGAAGAATGAGATATGTGCTTAGTGATTTATGAGGGTTTAAAGGAAAAAACTAGGTTTATTGTTGAGTCTATATTATGTAGTGGAGGATCTTTTGATTGGGATTTCATTGAGTGATGATAGAGGAATAATCGCGTTGTTAGACAATTACACCTAAATCAAATACAATTTATAACACTCGACTTATCCTAATACAAGTATATGGCAAGAGGAGGGGTCGAACCACAGGGAGAAGCACATACACAACGTATTCATCACTAGACTTTAAGCTATCTCGGGACAAAGGATAGGAATGACTAAGAGATTAAACTAAAGATAAACGAGTTAAAATCAATATAACTAAACGTCAAGGGAAATGGGTAGATGTAGATGCCGCTTGATCATGCAATAACATAAAAGTAAATCAATAGTGAACTAAACATGCATGAATATTGAAATAAGGTCCAATCTACCCGCCTTCCGGGGTTAATCGGTTTCTCCTAACATAGCCTCTATGTTTCCACACTAGAACCATATATTGGGAGGAGCAATCAAAGAACAATCGATAGTAATGAACCTTAACTAAGTCAACTTCCGTTCCTTGTTAGCAAAGATTCACCTTTATTCAACCAACAATGTGCACTTGCAAGAAGATCAAAGAATATCAAGCATGCAAAGATTTTAATCACAATTAACTTAATCCCAATATTATGAGCATGAACAATTAGCAACTACACCATCCCCACACCCTTGGCTAAGTGACTACTCACAGATCATGTTGAAAACAATATCAATCACCAAATCAATAAGCTTCAACATGATTAATAAGCAAAGAAGGAAACTTAAAGTAAACAAGCAAAATTAAATGAAAAAGTAAAGAGAAAGAGTAAGAGATTGCTCATTAATTGAAGTTGAAGATATACAAAAGATTATACAAGCTTCTTCTTCAAAATCCAAGTTCATCAATGAAGAAATCCACACTTTCTCTCTCTACCAAATGAAGACTAATAGTGTTTCTCTCTCTAGATTAAATTAAAAATGCAGAAAATTAAAACTAAGTTAATCTGATTACATCAAAGCGTTCTCAAAATGGGACTTATATAGTCCATACACAGCCAGCTGAAATAGAGGAGTGGTCCGACCGAACACTGGGAAGGTTCGGTTGACTACAGGGTAGGTTCGGTCGAACCATGGGTAGGTTCGGTCGAACCATGGGTAGGTTCGGTCGAATCTCCTTGATCCTGGTCTGGTCGAAATTCTGAGGTTCGACCACTCCTGCAAAATTGCCAAAATGCAACTTGACTCTGCCTTGACGTTCGGCCGGACCACTGAGGAGGTTCGGCCACACCAAGGTTTGGCCACACCTTCAGGAGGTTCGGCCGAACATCTCCTAAATCTTGCTTCCTTCAACTTTCCTTGAGCTTAGCTTCCTCTTCTTGAAAACCTCGGTGGTTCCTACAAATCATAAGCATGGAAATTAAAGTAAAGAGTAGGAAAAGGGGCAAAATCTAGGAAAGAAGATGCATAAAGGAAAAGGGAACTAAGTGCAAAGAAAAGGATGCAAACAAGCCGCAAATGTGGGAAAATGACCATCAAAATGAACCTTAATCGTGGCATAAATGCCACTCATCAACTTCCCCCACACTTGCCTCTTGCTAGTCCTCGAGCAAGGAATGCCAAAATAAAGAGAAAGTCACAACAAACATAACATGACAAGGGTTAAGGAAAACCACTTAAGCACTTATGTAGAAAAGGATCCATTTGAACTCGAACGAAAAGACATGCACCAAAGAATACTCACATTTCTAAATTCAATGAGGGAAAACACATTATAAGATGCTCGGGGTTGAAAGAGACAAACCTAAGCTAAGCATAGAGAATTAATGACTTCACCCTCCGCCCTTGCCCCAACCAAGACAGTCCACGTTCTCTCCACTAGTTTCAAGTCATCCCCTAGCTAGCTCCTCATGATTCCTCGAGGGAACCGGAAAAAGATATTTTTGTGTGATCATAAGGTCATCCCGACATCTCAACTATGCATACTCTCTCCATAGGGTTGAAATCTATCTCCCTCCACCGGTCTTTGACCGCGCTCCTCCAAGTCCAAGGGTCTTAAATAAGGTTGTAATGTCATGGCTAGGGGTTAAGGTTGGGAATCAATTTGAAAATTTTGGTGGCAAATCCTATGTGAAGCAAAAGAGTGGCCATCTCTCAAGAAAAACCTAAGAATTGAACCTAACCTCAAATTACAACCTTCAATACAAACCTCACAACATTACTTCATCCCTTTTCATTTCTTTCATCATCTTTTTTTTTCATCATCTAATTTTTTTTTTTCAACTTCACTTGGTTTTCATGTGTTGCAACCTTCTTTACAAACTTTTTGCATATTCTTTTCATAACCAACTTTCATAACCTTACTTGAACCGATTTACACAACTTTCTTGCTCAAAACCAACACTCTCAAACTCGAACCTCACAAGCCAATGCTTCACTAACTACAAGGGTCGGTAGAACATAGGCCGATAGGTTTTTAATATGGCTAAGTCAAGAAAGGGAAATAAGGCTCAAATTGGTTAGCAAGTAGGTGGATGCAAAAATGAAAACCAAATTTGTAACAAAACACAAAGAAAACAAATAAAAATGAGAAGAAATGCCCTCTTCCTCCTCTAGAGTTGTTTGGTCACGATCTCAAGAGCTAGATACCAACACAAAGATTAAGACATGCATAGTTAAGGATCCAAAATGCCGCTCACAAGAATGATGAAGGCTAGAACAAATGATGCTCACATGGGATAAGAAATAAGCAAATACTAACTAGAGGGAATCCTATCCACTATAGAGAGCAACTCCATCTTACCACTTTCCCGTGAACTAGGGGTTCAAATTTCCTCAAAAGTTCTAAACCGGGCTACCTTAGCTTACAATGTGTCTAACTCAACCCTGAGCATTCTCAAACCGTGCAAACCCTCATCAATCAGGAAGATAAGCATTCAAAGATGCAA